ATTTCAAAGACGCCACAATCGCACACCTATACAAGCAAATAGGAAACCGCCAGCTCTGCGACAAACACGGAGGCATCCCGCTGCTGAACATCGTTGGGAAATCTTTGCCAACATTCTCCTCAACCGTCTGAATAATCACCTAGAACAGGGTCTCTTGCCGGAAAGCCAGTGAGGCATTCACCGTCATTGTGGAAGCACGGACATGCTCTTCGTCGACCGTCAACTGCAGAAGGAGTGTCAGGAGATGCGGATCCACCTGTACTCTACATTCGTGGATTCGACGAAAGCCTTCGACACGATGAATCTTGAAGGATTTTGGAAAATTATGCGGAAATTCGGCCGTCCCGATCGATTCATTCAGGTGGTGCGTCAGCTCCACGGTAGCATGCTTGCGCGAGTCACGGACAATGGAGCTGTCTCAGTGGCATTCGGTCTGGTCATCAACACGCAGAAGACAGTGGTCATGCATTTACCACCACCCAACACAGCCCTCCTCACGCCGCGCCGCAAATCATCGTGAACGGAACCCAAATGCAAGTGGTGGAGAACTTCCTGTACCTGAGCGGCATCCTCTCCTGCAGCACGAAAATCGACGATGAAGTAGCCCGCCGGATTTCGAAGGCCAGTCCAGCCTTCGATGGCCTTCAAAGAACAGTCTGGAATCGTCACGGTCTCCAGCTCAGCACATAGCTTAAGATGTACAAGGCCGTCATCCCCCCGACGCTGTTGTACGGAGCAGAGACCTGGACGGTGTACACGAAGCAGGCATGCCGACTCAACTACTTCCACCTCACTTGTCTTCGTTGCATCCCGAAGCCGACGTGGCGGTATCGAATCCCGGACACCGATGTACTGGAACGGACAAAAATCCTCAGCATCTGCACTATGTTGAGACAACTGCAGCTGCGTTGGAGCGGCCATCTCGCAGGGATGGACGACGCGCGGTTACCCAAACGACTTTTCTATGGAGATGTCGTCACGGGTTCCCGCCGGCAGGGAGGTCTCCCTGAAGCGCCTGCAAATCGACCCGGTCAACTGGGAAGACCTCGCCCAGGACCGATCGACCTGGAGGAGGACAGTGCAGACAGGCGCTGCGATCTACGGAGCCAGCCGCATCGCCGCCGTCAAAGCCAAAAGCGATGCACGCAAATTACACCTGTGCGCACCTCATAATGCCAACGTACAACCGCCTCGAACGTGTCCGCGGTGTCAATGGACATTCCGGGCAAGAATTGGACTTGGTGGACACCTACGAATCAACTGCCCCACCCGGACCGCACCAACCGTCGTCCCTCCATCCTCCTCTTCCTCGTCCTCCACGCCGCCAACTAACTGTGACCGCTCTTCTGAACCACCACTCCCATCCTCCACTTCTCCCACCTCTTGGTCCTCCTCCTCCACCTACTCATTTTCCTCGTCCTCCTCCGCTGCTTCAAAGCCTGCCGTTGTGGCGCCGGCCACGCACATCAACACTGAACACAATCCGGACACATCCTCAAACATCAACAACACCATTTTCGGCACCAGATGTGGGGACCAGGATTACACCTACCCTCACTGTGACCGCACCTTCACCCCACACATCGGCCTGATCGGTCACTTGCGAATCCCTCGTACAAAGACTGGCGAACCAGTACCTGATGGGCCAGCCTAAACCCTCCTCATCCACCTCCATTGTCACACTGCCCTCGCACATTCATGCACCGCATGGGCCTATTCGATCACATGCGCATCCACGAAAACCTCAGGTAGACAACCGCTGGCTGCGCCAAGTCCTCCCTCATCGCCACCCCACCGCTCATAAACATCACCCACCGAAAGCACCAAGATGTCACCTCCCACGCAAGTGGACAATGTGCGTCTCGATTCGGTCTCCATGCGGCTCCTGTTGCATGGGTGACTCGAGCCTGAGACTACCCAGACGCTTCAAGAGTCGTGGATAGGAAGGCTGTTGATTGACTCCCCAACCCAGTCGACACAGTCCGTCCAGTTGTGTGTGTGTGTTGTGTGAAGAGGCGGTCTGGTGGGCTGGGGGCCGATCCGATACAGACCCTTCCCCGACACTCACGCATGCAAGAGATACGCCGCCCAACCCCCGTTGTGTGAAATCCTGGCGTTTCTGTTTGGGGGGGAGGGCAGGTCGTGCATGTGGCGTGTGCAAACAAGGTCACCAGACCATGTCAGCCACAGCGCCCATTCCCCGCTGCAGCCAGCTGACCGGCTCGGACAGGGGCTGAGGTGTGGGAATGGGAAGGGAGAGTGAGGTCGACGACTCAGCGCATTCTCCTCACTATAAACAATCTGACGCGCTTG